TCCAGTTATCACACTCTTCTAAGTGTTCCTTGACCTCTTTCCACTACCTCTGGCTTTGATTTGTCCTGCCCTTTCATGCATGCCCGCCCAGCATTATTTCATCAATCATCATTTGTATCATACATTCTCAACTGCGTTTTAAATTCCCGCCTGACTCTATTAATGCTTGCTTGCAGGGCTGAAATATGTCTGTCATCAATCAATTAATTACCTCGTTCTCCATTTGCCGCTTTCAACATTAATGATCTGAAGCGCTGCTGGTGGAGTGCAGCAAACAAGAAAGCGTTTCTCGTTGAAATGACATGGCAGGAAGTACAGATGATACAGGAGGAAAAGATTCCCAGATTGTGCAAGAAAAGAGAGAGAAGCGGGGATTTACAGAGGCTCTGTGCACTGTCTTATAGCAGGACTCTTAGTACTTTATTATGTTTCCCCAAAAGCAAATCAACTCCACAGAGCAGAGGTGAGCAATGTGGATTTGACCAAAACATGAGGAGACATAAAGAAGCTTTAAATGGCAGACATTTCTATTATTCACCCCTCAGTGTTCCTCTTTGGTTTCCAGATATTGGGTCTTCCTCTCTTTGACCACTCCTTCCTCCCATCTCTCACCCCCAACTAGCTTCTACTATCTTGTCTCTCTCTTACTCTCTCTCACACACACACACCACCCCAGCTGATCTTGTCTCACACACACACACAACCACCACAGCTGATCTTGTCTCACACACACACACACACACACCACCACAGCTGATCTTGTGTCACACACATCCACAAACACACACCCACCACCTCAACAGATCTTATCTCACACACACACCACCCCAACTGATCTTGTCCTACACACACACACACATGCACACCACCCTAGCTGACCTTGTCTCACACACACACACACACACACTCCATCCCAGCTGATCTTTTAAACACACAAACACACCATGCTTGTCTCTCTCTTACTCTCTCTCACACACACACACCACCCCAGCTGATCTTGTCTCACACACACACACAACCACCACAGCTGATCTTGTCTCACACACACACACACACACACACCACCACCTGGCTGATCTTGTGTCACACACATCCACAAACACACACCCACCACCTCAACAGATCTTATCTCACACACACACCACCCCAACTGATCTTGTCCTACACACACACACATGCACACCACCCTAGCTGACCTTGTCTCACACACGCACACACACACACTCCATCCCAGCTGATCTTTTAAACACACAAACACACCATCCCAGCTGATCTTGTGTCACACACACACCCACAAACACACATACCTACCACCTCAACAGCTCTTGTCTCACACACACACCACCCCAACTGATCTTGTCTTACACGCACATGCACACCACCCCTGGCTAGTCTTGTCTCTCACACATGCATACACACTCCATCCCAGCTGATCTTTTAAACACACACAAACACACCATCCCAGCTGATCTTGTCTCACACACACACACACAAGCACACACACTCACACACACACACACACCACCCAGCTGATCTTGTCAAGCCAGTTTTCTCTTCAGCTGATCTTTTAAACACACAAACACACCATCCCAGCTGATCTTGTCTCACACACACACACAAGCACACACTCACACACACACACACACCACCCAGCTGATCTTGTCAAGCCAGACTTTCTCTTCAGATCTTGCCCTCCTCCTCCCAAACTTTCTTCCTGAATCTCTCCATCCCCAGTGTCTCCACCCTATTACAAGTCACCCTCATTTCTTTGCCTGGATTCTAGGCAGGTCCCAGTAGCCTTCTGACTGGCCTTTGCCATCGATTCTTTTCTCTGTTTGATCCTTTCTCCATTTTGCACTCAAACTGACCTTTCAAAACTATGTTGCTTCCTGGCGTGTAAGGGTAATGACCCAAATCATGAATGGGGCCTACAAGGCCATGCACAAAGAGGTTTTCACCCACCCGCTTAGCTTTCTCACTCTTCATTGGCCACCCACACTGGTGGTGCTACCCTGAACACTCTTCCCCTGCCTTCAACCCCTAACTCCAGCTTCTGCCCTCACTCTTCCTTTAGCACTCAGTTCAAATGTGACTTCTTCAAAGAAGAATTCCTAAAACCCCAGACTGTTAACTGTTCCCCTAGCATCTTCACTTCTTTACACTGACTATTAACAGTTGTAGTTATGTAATTAGTTGCTGTTTAAAGACTGTGTCCCTAGTCAGAATATAAACTTTGTGAACTCAGAAGCTACGGCTGTCTTCTTCACTGCTTTGTCCACAGCATTTATGCCAATGCCCAGCACACAATGGGGTTCATTAAATATTTGATGAACGGATAGCCACATTCATGTTATAGAGATACATACGGCTTCTTCCTTGACACGTGGGTTCTGGAACAGAAAGAACCTGGCCTGTTCCGTATCGTATTGTTATTCTTTTAACTTTGGTTTGGTTTGATTATATTTATCCTCTGTGTTTACATTTTGTTTTGAAAAGGCAAGAAAGAACCCTCAAGTGGAATTGCTGCTGGCAGTTGGTGCCACACCAGTGTTCTCAGAATACACCCTGTCCTTTCCAATTTCCTTCATATGATGTAACCACCAACAGTCTCGGAGTAACAAGTCTTAAATTCTGATTCTCAGTCTGCTGAAGTAAGATCCCTCGTGGCCCCAGCCACACTTCACTTTCTCTCTGAAAGCCTGTCTGTTCTTGTCAGAACTTCTCTCTTCTTGCTAAAGCATTTCATTTTCACCTCTAACGGTTATATTTTCTAGCTTTTTATTATAGTTGTTTTGATACCCACCTACCCAACCTACTAGACTCTGTGCTCTCTGAGGGCAGGTACACCAAACTGATAAAATGTCTGAATCACCTGTGTATTCTCAGTATCTAGCACAATGTTAGGTGTTTATTAAACACAATTAAATTTTTCATTAGTATAGTAGCAGAGTGACTGGGGTAAAGTCCTTTAGTTTTATCATTTCCATTCATCAGTTCCATCATATATTCTCCCTCGCTTCCACCAAGAAGTACAGAGAATAAAGACATCCTATTCTCTCTTCCCTTCCTATGAAAGGTTTCCAAAATTACTGAGAAAGAAGAAAGAACCGGGGAGGCTTATGTAAGTAGAGAACAAAGAGAATAATGCCAATAAATACATACATTGTTTAAAGCCCTGCAGCTCTTCCTCAGATCAGATGATAAGAAGTTCAGAGTGCCAGGGGCATCTGGCAAAGGGCGTCTGCTGAAACTGATGCCTCAAAAGAAAAAAAAAGAAAGAAGAAAAACAATAGTCCATGTGATGATAAATGGAACATTCCTTATTGTTGATTCTTAGAAAGACAGTACCATACATTGTATGCTTTATAGTGGAAATTACTTTTCCTAATGTGTAAACATCTAAAAATAATATATTCAGCCCGGGCGCTGTGGTTCACAGCTGTAATCCTAGCACTTTGGGAAGCCAGTGCAGGAGGATTGCTTGAGGCCAACTGTTCAATACCAGCCTGGGCAACATAGACCATGTCTCTACAAAAAAAAATTTTAAAATTAGCCAGGCACAGTGGCCCGTACCTGTAGTCCTAGCTATTCAGGAGTCTGAGGCAAGGAGAATCGCTTGAGCCCAGGAGGTTGAGAATACAGTGAGCTATGACCATGCGACTGCACTCTACCCTGTCTCAAAAATAAATAAATAAAAATAGCATATTTACTGAAAGCAAATATATATACCTGGAAATATAGGTTCTAAACCCATTTCTGCCTCTCTCTAGCAGGGTGACCTTGGTCAAGTCAGATTATCATCTATAGGTAGTTGTGCTGCATATGGGGCCTCTTGTTACAGATTTAAAAAAAGAAACCCTTCTAAAGCAAATTCCTTTTATTTAAAACAGCCCTCATGGAACCGAATGTTTTCATGGGAAGGATACAGTCAGGCCATGACTGTCAATGAGAAACAAGATTGATGCCATTATTGAAGATATGATATCATATCATATCTAGGGAAACAAATCTTCTTGTCAGTTGTTCGTTAATTTCCATTCAGGTGTTTCTCTGTTTTCTTCAGTTCAGCTGGTACTTATTAAAAGCTTGTTACTCAAAAGAAATAACCTAATACGGCAGAATTGTGCATCAGGAAACCCGTGCTTCAAATCTTGACTGTACTACTGCAAGTTGTATGATATTAGACACTTTATAATAGTGACAATTGCCAACTACTGAGCGTCTACTGTCTGCTCACTGTGCTAGGCCCTTTACAGGTGCTATTTCCTTTAGTTCTCACAAAGCCCGTCATGATAAATGCTATTAGCTTCATTATACAGATAACTCAAATGCGACTTGAAAAGGTTAAGTAATTTGCCACAGGTCACATAGCTGGTATAGTAAGTGAGATTCCAAAGTCCTTGCTTTTTTTCCAAAGAGCAAGAGCTTTCCAAAATGCTTTTTTGCAAAGAGTCCTGGGGGAATTCTTTGCTCAAATTTTTCCAACCATAAATTTAGGGAATTTAGTTACGTGACCTGCAGGAGTGATAGTAAATAAATGTAACTTTTTTGTTGATTTTTTGTAATTTTTTTTTTTTTTTTTTTTGAGACATGATCTCACTCTGTCACTCAGGCTGGAGTACAGTGGCATGATCATGGCTATTTTTTGTAGCAACAGAGTTTTGCTATGTTGTCCAGGCTGGTCTCAAACTCCTGGGCTCAAGCCATCTGCCCACCTCGGTTTCCCAAAGTCCTGAGATTACAGGCATGAGTCACCACAGTAGGCCTATAATGGAAAATTTTTATCATACACAAGAATAGAGAGACTAATTCAGTAACCAGTCTCACAGCCACAAAGATCATCACTTCATAACCACTCTTATTTCATCTACACCCATTCACTTTTCTCTTTACCTCAACACCCAATGGATTCTTGTGAAGCTGCCCAGCTATATTATTTGATCTGTAAATATTTTAGTATTTATCATGAAAGGGAAAGACTTTTTAAAAACATAATCCTGATCCTTTTGTAGTTCATAAGTGTGATTATTGGGTGTTCACATGCATGCGTGAGATGTGCCACCCTTGAACCTTGTTATGTCATCAGCACATTACCCGTCTGACATGAAAAATAATAATAATACCAATACCATTAGCATACCTTAAACATTAACAAGAATTCCTTAATATCATAAAATGACCAATGTTTGTGTTTCTTTCATTTTCTCCTTTTAAAAAAATAGTTTAATATATTTTAATAGCAAACTTACAGGAATAGCACAGAAGACAGACATTAAAAACCTGTACTTGCATGTAGGACAACTCAGAAAAGTACAGTGAATGCACAGAATCGACTGTATTATCAAATGCTACTAACATTATTTAGTTGCCATGAATAAGAAATTTGCTTGTTTTTAAAAAGTCCAAATGCTGGCATTGTCCAGAAAATTTTAACAGGTTTATTTATATTGTTATAAAGTTGAACTGCTGGCCAGGTGCAGTGGCTCATACCTGTAATCCCAGCATTTTGGGAGAGTGAGGCAGGCAGATTGCCTGAGGTCAGTAGTTCGTGACCAGCCTGGCCAACATGGTGAAACTCTGTTTCTACTAAAAAATATGAAAATTAGTCAGGCATGGTGGCGGGTGCCTGTAATCCCAGCTACTTGGGAGGCTGAGGCAGGAGAATCGCTTGAACCGAGGAGGTGGAGGTTGCAGTGAGCTGAGATCGCGCCGTTGCACTCCAGCCTGGGTAACGAGAAACTCCGTCTCAAAAAAAAAAAAAAGTTGAACTGCTGAAACTTGTTCACTGAAACATTTTGATTTGCATTAATGCTTTGTGTCCTTGCATTTTTAAAATTTGTTATTGATACACAATAGTGCATATTTTTATTGTACATGTGAAAATTTGATACATTCATATAATCAAACCTGTGTCCCTGCATTTATATTAAAAATTCATACACAAATGAATATGGAGAAATTGCCAGTACCTGATTTCTGTCTTCTGTTTTTCCACTTGTTGTCATTGTATGTAGGTACCATTTGACCTCATGGGGAAAAAAAATCTAACATTCACAACTACCAGTGTCAGGAAGAAGAGAGAGAGAGAAGAATGAAATGTTTTCCATCACAGTGAATTCTTTTTTTTTTTTTTTTTTTTTTTTTGAGACAGAGTCTCACTCTGTCGCCCAGGCTGGAGTGCAGTGGCCAGATCTCAGCTCACTGCAAGCTTTGCCTCCTGGGTTTATGCCATTCTCCTAAGCATGTTCTTCACGTACGTTATGTGCTAGCTGGATGTCTTTTGCCATAATTGTTACACATGTGGCATGGAGGACACATAGGTTGTTGTCTTCAAAAAGGCCAGCCAAATAGTCCTCTCTTGCCTCCACAAAGCACCAATGGCTGTGCTCTGGAAGCACAGATCTGTTTTGAAGTCCTGAGAAATTTCTTGCACCAGATGCTGGAAGGGAAGTTAGCAAATCAGGAGTTGATAGACTTCTGATAATATTTAATTTTATAGAGTACCACAGTAGCAGTGCAGCAGTGTCTCAGTGATGAAGTTTCTTCAGCACTCCAGTAGAGGGTGAACTCTTGCAGGTGACTTTTGTATCCAGTAACTTCCTGAATGCTTTACCACTGATAGCTTTGTGGGCCATAGTATGGAAATCTTTCTTACCTCCTTCTCTTTCCACTGGAGCTCAGTGAGTTAGAGGCAGCTTGTAATCTCTCTCTCTCTCTGTCTGACAATTTGGTCATTAAAGATTTATTTGCAGTTGTTTTGTGTGTGTGTGTATCCCAAGGTAGTATATTCCGCTAGGAGTATACAGTCAAATTACTGGGTTCTAATATCACTGATAATCAAAATATTAAAACAGTTGAAACCAATCAGAATGGACAGCCCCCTGCTATGATCTAACCCTTTAGTTATTGGCCCATAAGGATGAGGGATGGGAAAGGGTGATATCTCAGGGCAGCAGTAGTTCACCAACCTATATGTTGTTTAACAACCCAACATTGTTTCAGTGTTTTGTTTTGTTTTGTAACAGTGTCTCTGCTCTGTCACCCAGGCTGGAGTGCAGTGTGAACATAGTTCACTGCAGCCTCAACTTCCTGGGCTCCACTTCAGCCTCCCAGTAGCTGGGACTACAGGCATGCACCACCACGCCTGGCTAATTTTTCGTAGTTCACCCCGTTGCCCAGACTGATCCTGAACTCCTGGCCTCAAGTGATCTTCCTGCCTTGGCCCCAGAAAGTGCTGCGATTACAGGAATGAGTCACCACACCCGGCCTGTTTCAAACACTGGGAATACCGTCCTCTGCATACTGACTTGTTACAAACCCTGGTGTCTTTTAAGTTCCTTTCTAGCTCCAACAGGAATGTAAATAGTCACTTAATGGAGATACCCTTTTCCTGCTTCCTTACACTAGTAGTCTTTATATACATAAACACACACACACATAAACTTTACAATAACACAAATGATTATTTCCTATAATTCTGGAAGTTCTGGCAAGTAAAATAAACAACAAAATAGAAATATGAGTTACGACTATTAGGAAATGAAATTATTAGTATTTAGAACAAATGTAATTAGATACCTAAAACAAAACTAACAAAAAATAAGAATAAGCAAATTATGAGTACAAACTTGTAGGCCAAACAAGTCTAAAAATCTATTGTGATGGGGCCAGCTACAGTGCTAGCAGACCTGGATCAATTAGTAATTATAAATGAAGTTAAATATAATTAAATATATAATTTAAATGTAATTAATTATATAACTTTCAGCTCTTCTGATTTAATTCTACTAAAATTCTTAAGAATTACTTGCTCTGGCAGATATCTGTGCGATTGCCTTCACTAATAGCACTCTTTCCTAAGGAGTATATCTTCATCTCCCACCACCATCCACATGGCTACAGCCAGAACTTTTCTGTGTTTACATGATCCTACTTTCCTGGCCACACTTGATAAATCAGGAATAGGTGCACCTGATCTAAGCCAGTACAATAAGAGGCCTTCCTCTGGATTTTTCAAACTGGAATAAAGAAAGAGAGACAGCCACATGGTTCTTAAAGGACACTGACCCAAATAGCTATTGGTAACCATGTTTTCTGCTTTGGGCAGATTCTGTCAGCAGTGAGAGCAGATGAAGCTGATATGCAGAGAAGTGCCAAGCCAGTTGTCAAAGGGAAATTTGATGGCAGTGGGATTTCTGAGGTAGAACTATAGTTCTGCTCATCCATTTGTTTGGCTTTATAACCCTTCTTTGGAACCCATAAGCCAATAATTTCTCATTTTTATCAAAGAAATTCAAATTAGGTTTCTATCACTTGCTATCAAAAGAATTACCACTTCATTGACAAAAGGAAATGCGTAGAATAAATTTTCTACAAGTAATAGATTTATATTTGAGGCATGTTCATTTTACTGTATACAAATCTTTTCAAGTCCCTCACTATTACCAACTTTTAAAAATTTGGAATGTTCATGGATTTTTGATTATGTGATTAAAAAAAACTTGGATGTTCAGGGTCTAGGGTGTGGTAAGAGAGGTGGGAGATAAGTTTGGAAAGGTAAATTGAGATTACAATATATAGGGCCTTAAATGTCATGTGAAGTTTAGACTGTATCCTGCAGGTAATGGGGATCCATTTGGCAAATTTTCAAGCAGGGGAAGGATATGTTTAGATAAATAATTCTGCTGGCAATTTGGAGCCTCAATAAAATGGGGGGAAAATGAAAACAGCTTAATAGGTGCTTGTGCTGGAAACCAAATTACATAAAGAGTATTCCAGGTGTCCAAGGCAGGGTTGATGAGAGAATCACCTAGGAAAGTTACGCTGAAAATTGTTGGGAAATGGAAGGATTCTAGAGACATTTGAAAGGTAGAATTGGTACTACTGAATGACCACTTGGACACAGGGGATGAAAATGAGGAAATATAGGACTATGACTAGATGGGGATGCCATCAACACAGGAAAAGGAGGAACAGATTTGAGAAGACACTATTCTGAGTATCACCACTCACTTTTATGATACTTCTAGCAGGTATGGAGCTAAAATGTATGATGTCCCATTGTAGCACTCATATTATATCTTGGCAGGTTGTTTGTACTTTATTGGATTTGCTGCATAATGTAGGATGCCAAAGTAATCATTACATTCTGGAAGTTAGGAGTCCTACTTGGTCTCTGATGAGGAAGGCATTAACTGTGATTTCTGTCACATGCTCGTATATACTGGTCTGGGAGAAATCTTTGATTTAATGAATAGAATTAAACATAATTATAGCCACCTTAAAATTCTGTATATCGCATATAGAGAATACCATTAACTCATTGTCTACTCTGCCTTCCTCTGCTTTCGTGATTAAGGGCAGAGGAATTAAAATTTTATAGTGAAATAAAATTGGATAGATATGATAAAGTAATGCGAGGCTCACAATTTCAAAGTAAATATTTCTGTGTTCAAAGCAATTCACCAGAGGGCCACTTTCCCTGTACCTTCCCTGAAGAACTAAAAGCTCTAGTCCACCTGATTTTTAAAGCAAAATTATCAAATACCAGAATGTAACTTGTTCTGTGTTAAAAACAAAACTAGACATAGTCCTTATCCTTGAGGACTAGCTCACTATCATTCCAATATTTTTTGGAAAGTGTGAAATTGCGATTTGCAGATGGTGACTTTGCCAAAATTGAAAGCTTAGTAGCTCACATACACTTGTGTGAGTACCTAACATCTTTATAATTCTGACAACACTAATGAGCTACAGGAAACACTGGCCAAATTGTGCTTGGTTTGGTTTCCATTCTCTTGCTAAATCCCTTATATCAGCACTGACCAATAAAAATATAAAGCAAGCCACATTTGTGATTTTAAATTTTCTAATAGCCATATTTTTTAAAGTAAAAAGAAACATGTAAAATACATTTTAATAGACTTTTTAAAAAACTTTATTTTTAGAGCAGTTTTAGGTTCACAGCAAAATTAAGAGGAATGTACAGAGACTTCTCATATACCCCTTGCCCCCACACATGCATAGCCTACCCCATTATCGATATCCCCCACCAGAGTGGTACCTGTTTTATAACAGATGAGCCTACATTGGAACACTCAAAAG